CAGCAATAATATTAGATCTAAGTTGTGACATTTATAGTTATGTGTCACTTCAAAAGTTACACTGCATGGATCATACAGCTGAGAATCACACTTTCATTATTATAACCAATGATCACACCTCAAATCTTCATTTCTGTCTCCTTTCTTTTCCCACAGCTTTGCTGAAGTATAACTGACAAAACTGTAAGATATCTAAAGTATACAATGTGATGATTTGATATATGTATAATATTATGAAAGGATTTCCCTCCATCAAGTCAATTAACACATTCATCAGCTATTTACCTATTTTTGTTTGGTGAGAAGATTTAAGTTTTACTTTCTTAACTTTAAATTATACAATAGAGTGTTATCAACTATAGTCACCATGTTATACATTAGATCCTCAGACCTTAGTCACCTTATAACCGCAAGTTTTGTACCTTTTTACCAATCTCCCTATTTCTCCCAGCAATCACTTTTCCACTCTGTTTCTATGAGTTTGACTTTTTTTTTAGACTCCACATAGAAGTGATACCATGCAGTATTTGTCTTATTCTGTCTGGCTTACTTCACTTGGTATAATGCCCTCCAGGTTAATCCATGCTATTGCAAAAGATAGGGTTTCCTTCTTTTTCAAGGCTGAATAATATTCTATTATATATATACACCACATATTCTTGACCCATTTATCTGTCAACACTTAGGTAGTTTCCACACCTTGGCTATGGTGAATAATGCTGCAATGAACACGGGTCTGCCACTCACTTTCTGACCCTGATCTCTCGTTTCTATCTAATCACAGCCTCATTTATCTACATAGCAATTTCCTTGATAGAATATTTTGTATCTATCACCTGCTTTTTCCTCTGTCCTCAACACTTCTTACTTCTTTTGCTTTTTTTTTTCTGTTATACCTGACCTTCAAATTTGTTATGTCCCATGGCTTATTTGTCAATCATCTCTTTCCCCTCGTACAACCCCTCTCCCCTTCTCAGTCTCTCTCAATCTTACCCAAACCCTGGCTTTATATACAATCTAAATACTGACTTCCCCCAAATCTACATTTCAGGCATAAACTTTCCTGGGTTTTTGATCCATACATCCGACCTGCTACTCAGCATATCCATTTGTATGTCTTATAGGCATCTCAAATTTCATGTGGCCAAAACAGAACTGTTTTTTTCTGCATCTCTGGTAATGCCACCTACATTTACCAGTTCCCCAAGGCCAAAAAATTAGGACTCTTCCCTTGATTTCTCCTCCTTTCAAACTTCTATAGCCTATCAATCTTCAAGCCTTATTGGCTCTACCTTTAAATATTCTTGAATCTAAATACGTCTTAACAGATAACACTGTCATAACACGAGTCTGAGCTTATTTTCTTCCACATTGCTGCTTTTCCTGCTTCCATCTTTGACCTCCCCTATAATGTAGCCTCAACAAAGTAACCAAAATTATTTTTCAATTAATATAAATCTGATTATATATCCTTCCCATGAAAACTCCTAAAGTGGGACTATATGATCTGTCCCATCTTCATCTCTTATGTCCTCTCTCACATAAGCCTTCATGATGTTCATGGAATAAGCCGAAATTATGACATCTTGGGCCTTTGCTGGCCCCTATCTCCGAAATATGTCCCCCCACCCCAACCCTTACTGCATACCTGCATGACTCGCTCCTCCTTTCAGACACATCTCTCAGCTACTCAGAAAGGGATTCCCTGAGAACTTTTCTCAATTAGTGCCCTCCCATACCTCAGTCACGCTGGCTTTCCTTTCTCTTGCGTATTGTACTTATTCATTATTTTACTTTATCACACTAATATCTATTTGAAATTTTATCAGATTACTTTCTTCTCTCTTCTTTTATATGTACTAATTGAGCACATACTTTATAAAGGGCATTGGGTTCCATGATGCTGATTACATTCAGGTCTAATAAGACTGACAGAGTCCTTCTTCTCATGGAGTTTACATTGTATTAGGAAAGACAGGAATGGCAACTCTAAATACACAAATGCTTTTTAATTAGTGTTACAATGTTGAAGCACAGGATGTCAAGTATTCCCACAGCCTAAAAGTCTCATTGGAAAATGGGAGTGTTTCTGAGAATGTGACATGTAAGCTGCAACCTAGAGGACTTCTGAGGCCGGGGTGAGGATGGGGATGGGTGAGAGAAAAGACTTCTAGGCACCAGAAAGACTAATTGTAAAGGGCACTTACTGTTGATTTGTGGGTATGTGTTGACACATAAATTAACATTTGCTATTTTCCTGTTTCCTTATGGAGGTGAGCCATTAAGTCCTTAAATTCAAAAGGAACTCTATGTTTACATGAATCCTAAGAAATGGAAAGGAAATCAGGCTGAATCTCTGGGGCCAAGACAGCAAAGGATGGTGAGGAGGGAAGAAATAACCTGGTCTTGTGAGCAAGCTCTGCTTCTTGGCTTTTTATACCTTTGTTTTCAACTACAGAGTCGACTGACTCCAATTATTAAAACAAAAAAATCAACTTAGATGCACCATGAACAGACACTGTAACAGTTTTCAACTGTGGTCCCAACTTTACTAAAATACTTCAAATCTTAGTTTTTAATGTAGGACTTGAATATCTGAATTTTTAATCAGTCGCACACACAAAAAGAATAGTCACTAAAAAGTTAGCAACCAGTCTTTTTTTGTAAATATATTCCCAGGTAGTAATAGCAGCATCGGGCTGAGAAGAACAGTGTTTATTAACCACTGGAGAGGTTAATTAAATGAACACAGAAAAATGGTTTTCAAAACAAATGACCAGATTTGGGGGTGAATTAACTTCTCATTTGTAAGAGAAACAGGGAAGTACATCTTCAGTAATAAAGAGTGGCAACTTAATCGTTACCAGTGAATGTCAATGTTCTTGTGGGAAGCATTGCTGGGAATTCAGCCAAAGTTGGGGAAAAAACCAATTCTATTAATGAGACTACTGAAACCTTCCCCGAAAGTGAGTCCTCCATGGAGGAGACTGAATGGGGAATTGAGTAGATGGGTTTGCCTCTGGCACTTCTGGGTTTAAAGCACTAACTTAATGTATGGTCTTGAGTAAATGATGGAACCTTTGTTAACCTTCATTCCCTCATCTATAAGCAATGCCATGCATGGTCTGTTGCAAGGAATATGGGAGTTAACTCTTTGAAGTACCTAGAACATTATAAGTATTAAAGAAATGTAGGTTCCTGTCCTTGTTTCTGGATTGGCAGGGGTGGGGAGAATAGGAGCTCACAAGAAAAACAAAAGAGAAAACAGCACACTTTGCTAAATGAAGATCAGTGTGGGACTCCGGCAGGATAGCAGTTTAGACAAGGCCTCGTTTCTTATCCTATTGTCTTGAAGCAATACACCTCTCCTAAGCTTAGGAGCTGCTGGGCTGGCTAAAAAGAAGCTTCAACAAAGAAAGTAAACTCTCTTACAAAAGAGCAGTCGATAAATCTTGATTCTCATCTATTAAAAATATACAAATGAGAAAATAAAAGTATATGCATAGAACTCATTAAATGTTACCAGAAAATCACCACCAATCTAACATTTCCTATAAGCCGTTATTACACTTCCCTAGACAGCTGAAACAGGTATCATACCTGGGCAATAAAGACACTGGCCATCCACTCCATCTGAGTTTGTAAACTATCACAACACAGGTGCCTGCAAAACAAGGTTTATAAAATACATAATTCAAGAAGACAATGCACTATTCTCCAGTCTATCTGTTTTGGTGATTATGTGATCAGAAACCCCTTTGGGGTTCTCCGATTAATAATTTAATGCAATCAAAATGGGAGCATTTCAGTACAAGTTGCTTCAGGCTTCTGTTAAGTATATAATATTAAAATAATAGTGTAAATATACTACTAATTTAAATATGCTAGTTTAAATAAAATATATCTAAATGTTTTGATAACTGCTGAACAAAAATTGGCAATATTTTTGGAAAGGTGGAAAAGTCAATGTCATTTGCTTTCTCAGGTGCATGATGGTGAACTATTTTTCCCCAGAAACTCCGAGCCTGAGAAGAGAAATATGTGCATGTTTTCTTAACAGCAGATGTAAAAAAAAGTCTAAGACAGTCTCTATCATTATGATGATAAACATTAAAACTCACAAGACTCATGAAAAATAAATTAAATAAAAAACCATTGCATGTCCAACAACACTGATTCAGTAACTTTTTATTGAAAACCTATACATAACAGAGATCTTACCCTCAAGGTTCACATAGTCCATGAGGGAACCCAGACATGTAAACAAATAAAACACAGTGAGAAAAAAAGAAAGCTGAACACACAATAGAAACAGCACACTTGGGGATGAGACAGAGGCTATTTCCTATAAGATGAAAATTTTTTGACTGATGTTAAAATGAGAAAATGGACATTTTAATGTTAACTACATTTTTTTGTATTCCTCCATTAAAAACAATTTAGAAAAATGCTAAAATTTCTGAAATATTCTTGCTTCTTTCATTAGATTCTCATAAAGACATTGTCCTTTCCCATTACCAGTACAAGAAAACTCTTCTCTACAAATCATTTTAATTGCACACCCATGTGTACAAAACGCTGTAGATACAAAGAAAACATAAATAATAATTAGAGGTGAGTGTTATTTCATACGACTTTTGGGGCATCTGAGCTACGATTTGAATGAAGGATAGTTGAATCTACCAGATCAGGAAGAGAATGGGGTGATAAGGGAAGGGAGCAGCATACAGTATAGAAGGCAACTCAGTAAGGGCTCCACATATATTAAACATGTAGATATGAAGCAGCAAGGCATGTCTGGTAAATTAAAGACACATTGTTTTATTATTAAGTAAAAAGGAAAAGTCGTGGGGATGAAGCTGATGGAACCCATGCCAACAATTCTGTAGTTTATCCTGTAGGTAACAGGATTCACAGAAAAGTTTTAAAGCAGGAAAGACACATAATAAATTTAGAAAGTCTCTTGGGTGGCTGAGTGGAGAGTGTACTAGAAGATAAAAGCAAAGAAGGCATTAAAAAGAACACTTAGGACTTCTAGAATGTTTCAGGCAGATGAATGAAGGCATGGCCCCGAGGATACAGGGGTGTGGGTGAGTCGGAGAGCTACTGAAGAGACACATCTGGTATGCTTTAGTGACTGATTACACACAGGCTGCTGAGAGAGAGGAGACTTGTAGTACAACCTCTCAGGAGAGGGGCTACATCCTGGTGACATCAAGTGAAAAAAAGTACATATATGGAAAGAATAGGTTTGAGACCAAGATTTTTTTAAAACTGAGTTTTGGCTAGTTCTTATCCCTTATTTAAACCCGAATTTTGCCTGCTTATCCCATAAAAACTGAGATTCAACACTCATATAATAACTAGGAAGAAATTAGATGTAGTGTCTCTTAAGAGACATTGGCGAATAAGGTAAATGGGATTGAAATGGATCTTAATCCTGAAGCAAATCTATTTTCCTCTTCTTAGACAAAGTATTGAGAAAAGATTTTAATGTCACTTAGGTGAAACTTTCTGTCTGTAGATCTGCCAAATCACAACATTATTCATTTACTGAAGTTATCATCAAAATATCAAATCCCAAACTGCCAGTTGTTAACTTACCAGTGATGTTTCTCAGAATATGCTGTCAATCCCCAACTGCGTCACAAGGGAAAAAATAAAGCACATACATATTAAAAATGATAAATTTTACAAAACTAGAAAACAGGATCAGATGTTAACCCTATTCCCCGTTTAGGAAAAAAAAAACTGCAGCTCGCATAGGAATGTTGTTTTTTAGGATATGACATTTTCAGCGATTGAACTACTATAAAGGAATGCTATAAACAGAATGATGTCATTTGTTTCCAAAGACTATTGATGTACTAGAGTGACGTGAAAATAATAAAAGTGAGGTATTTCATGGCAAACTTTAGGGGTAAGGTTAAGACTGTAATCCGCAGGTTATCTCGGGGCAAATAGGAAAAGAGTTAAGGAGGTGATATTTATTGGTGAGAATGCATAACAGAATTGATACTCTTAAGTCATGATTCAATGGTTATGATTTATCTAGAGGCAAATGATAAATGTTCAGGGATTTGGCTACAAATTTAAATATGCAGAAGGGAGACAGAGGGAAGGAGCCTTGTGATGTCATCAGGCATGGGGGAAATCTCTCAGAAGATATTCTTGGCTGAGTAAGGGCCGACATCCAGGAAAATGGCCAACATGAGATACACAACGGCCTGCTGATATTGTGAGAAATTAAAAAATATGCCAATTGCTACACAGATATATATGTGCTGGACTTAAAATTAAGCATGGAGGCAAAAGTGAGAAAATTTTAAGTAACAGAATCTCAAAGTTCATTAAAATGATATTTCATGCGACAAGTGCAAATACAAACATTAATTAGCTAACCAAAGTAATTTGTGATAAGAATGGTATAAATCAAATGCTGTGTTGAGTCAAGTGTTAAAGAGGAACATGATGTATAAGAGGATTCTACTTCCTCTCTACCATCTATGTGCTGTGAATTTACTGCCAAATTTGGCAAAGCAAAATGGGCAAATTATAGAGCCAGGAACAAGACATTCTAAAAGCCAAGCATCAGGAGTCTGGAAGGCAGCATCTACTGTCCTGTGTGTAGACTTACTTGAGACATTCCTTATGTCCTCAGGTTGTGACTGAGTAAGGAACAGGATATAGAGAAACTCGTGTGTTTCCCAATGAACAGGGCCTTCTGGGGATTTATTTTACAAAAGGGTCATGCAATCACCCAAGAGCTCGACTTCAGTGGGAACATCATCCCTCATCTACCCACACAGGTTCTCCTGATCTGCCAATCGGTCCTCTGGCAACTTAAGGAATCTATCTAAGCTTAAGTTATAAGAAGTTAGACTAATGCCACTGATCCCTAAATCCTTTAACAGTCTTTCCCCATAACTTTTCAACCACCCTTCACTGTCAAGGTTTACCTTGTTGGAGGCTTCATTTTCTTTTTCACTCCAAGATAAAACTTCATTGAACTGAGAGAAAACATTTTGTCATATTTACTACTCTGTAAGAAAAACGAAATTATAGGTAATTAAACAGATTTTTATAAATATCCTTGTATTTGGCTTGAATGTTAATGATTGGGTTTAGAATTGTTTAGTTTCTCCACTGTTTTAGAAATAACAAGTTTTAAAATATTGTTTTGATTACAATGTTATTAATTGAAATAATTTTGGATATATATGTATGCTGATATATGTGTGTATATGTGTATTTAAACACACACACAATAATCCTGTACTCAAAATACCTGGGACCAGATGTATATCGGAACTGATAATTTTTCATATTTTAAAAATACAATGTATAAGCAGTATGTTATGTAACTCCACCACACCACTAATATTATCTGGAGCAGCACCCTGTATTCAAATATATTCATATTTCCATATTAAAATACATGACATTTCATATAATGTGAGCTAAATAAAGGCTATAAATATAGACTGAATGTCTGTATCCCCCAAATTTATACACTGAAATCTAATCCCCAATGTGATGGTGTTTGGAGGTGGGGCCTTTGGGAGGTCATTAGGTCATGAGGGTGGGGCCCCATGAAAGGGGTCGATTCCTTTATAAAAAGGGTCCAGAGAGCTGGCCAGCTCCTTCTCTTTCCTCCATGTGAAAAAAGAAAGAGAAGCCAGCAGTCTACAACCTAAATTAGGCCCTCACTGAACCTGACGGCGCTGGCACACTGATCTCGATGTCCGGCCTCCAGAACTGTGAGAAAATTCCTGTTATTTATAAGCCACCCAGTCTATGTATGGTGCTTGGTTACAACAGCCTGAACTAAGACAAATATCTTCATGTTGGTTTGGGTCAGGCTTTACGTTGCGATTTCCTATACTTTTTGAATTTCAGAATTATGGAAAACATACTATGAACCTATATGGGCACATACTGAACTATCTCAAATATCCATCCATGTTAATGAAAATTTTCACTAATTCATGAAAGTAGACTAAAAAAAAATTTACATACATTTGCTTTAGATTAATTATACATTCTCCATACATATCCCGACCTATTTGTGAATAATATTCAAAAAAGTTTTAGTCCTTGAATACAGACCATCAGGAAAGTTGTCTAACAGAAGCAAAACTTAAATCATTATAATTTAAAAAATACCAAAACACACATATTATTTATCCTTAGATACCCAGAAATAGATTTTATGAAGATAATAGCCATGGAAATAATTATTAATAAGTAGTCCCCATAGCCTCAAAATTCTCAAAAAATTTTCTTGTTTTAAACTGGCAGGCAGATAGCTTTTATAACTAAGATCCAGGGCTAAGTGTCAGAGACCTGGGTGAAAATCTGTATTCCTACTTACTAGTTTGTGACCTCATATTCTCTTGGCCTTTATTTCTTGTTTGTAAACAGGGATAATAAAAATATTGACTCTCTCATTGGGTTATTATGAAGATTAAACGAGAAAGTAAAGGGTTACTGTGAAGGATTATTGTACAGATTCAATTTAAAAAATTACTAAAAGGGTTTAATCTAGTAACTGGCATATAGTAAGCATGCAGGAAATTATTACAGCTATTATTATAAATTTAAAACATGTTGCTTCATAGAAATAGCAATATAGATAAGGTGTTAGGATCCTAAGACAATGCACAAAAGCCTATTTAGCAAATATGAAGCTCCAATCAGTACTAAGTTCCATAAAACAAACTCTTACTATGAAATCTGTTCTTTATGAAAGCAGCCAAATTTGAAGAGTGGAAAATATGTTTATAAAATAAAAACTTGGTTTCCATGGAGAATACAGGTTAGAAAAATATAGAGGAAATATAGAGGGAAGAACAAGCAGGAAAAGGATCAGGAATTATACTTGGGTGACCGATGACCCCTGTGGCAGCCTAGAATTTACATGGTGGATTTACTCCTAGTCACTATTATTAATGTTTGTTATTATTATAATGGTAGATAATTGAAAAAAATTTTTCTTGGATGTTTTTCCCTTTATAGCTAGATTTCTAGAAATGGAATCACTGGGTCAAAGATTAAGAACAAAGTTTTGGCTAAAATGATAGGGACATTCAGTTAAATGTATATTCATGTATTTGCTATCAATTTTCTGCTTTGATTTGGTCAACAATTTATCCACATCTTATTTGTTTCATTAGTTATTTACATATTAAACATGAAATTGCTTTGTCTTTTTAATTTTTAATTGAAATATTCTACCCAAATTGCTGTTTGCCTTAATTTTGCTGTTTACTTAATTACCTGGTCATATAGCTTAAAGGGTTGCTATTTTTAAAGTCTTGATTTTTTTTTTTTTTTTGTCAATCCGGAAGGTATATTTTATATACAGTATAGATAAGAATTTAACTGAAATTTTATGTTAACAATTTTCCCAATCCTACTTATTAAACTTTTCTTCAGACATGGATTTATGGTTGCATATTTATCAAAAACAAATTGTGATATATGCAATTAAGGATTTTACCTGACTTCATGGCACCATTGCTATCTCTGTTCATTTTTATGCCAGGATCATATTATGCAAGCTACTTTCATTTTATTATACATATTAATAGTTAGATGGAAAATACTTCACATTTATTTTACTTTTTATGCCCCAAAACATTTTGCATGTATTCTTAACTGTTCATCCTTTGAGATGAATTATCAAATCATTTTTGCCAAGTTTTAAAAATTATTCCCTTTGGGATTTTGAAAAAAATTTAAACCTATAAACCAATATTAGTATACTTTACATGAATTTTATTTCAAGAAGTAAAGTTCAATAGTTTTATATAAACCTCTACTTCTTGTTAATGTCATTTTCTGGTAGTTCGTATGTTTTGACTTTTTATGCTAACTGAGGACTGGTTTTTGAGAAGTGATTTTTTTTTTAGTTTGCTACTTTACTGAATGTTAATGAATTTGAACTATCTAATGCAGAACAGTGAGATAGCATTATAAAGTAGTAAGTGTCCCATTCAGGAAAGAGTCAAGGAGAAGAGAACTTAAGAACGTGCACAGCAGAGGAGACTCCTGGCCACCTTTTTCAAAAGTTAAAACAGATTACAACTGAAATTAACATCCCTCCTCATAGACTGCTGTTCCCTCAGACATAGCCCCAACTGAGGCAGCAGGTTAGGGTAGGAGGCAGCAATTCCGGCAGTGTGGGTAAGATGGGACTTGACTGTTTGAGAATGAGAAGCTCTATGCCTGAACTAGGCAGTCCTCCTTTAAGAAGCCATTGCTGAGTAAGTCTAGGATTGCCTACATTTTGAAGCACTTTCGGTAATAAATTGAGAGTCTGAAGTCACACAACTGATTTCCAAGCCCCTCCTGACTTGTAAGCTCATTACTTTATACCATATCCTGCCCCTACCTCCTTGCCAAAAAAGAGGATAGAATTTGAGAGATCAGCAATGGTGGAAAGAAAGCTTTTTCAGTTTCAATCTTTCAACTGAATATGCATAAAGAGGAACTATAAGGATCCTAATGGAAACTTCTATAAAAAGAAACCTCATTTGGCAAGAAAACTTTACTGTTGGCTTATTACAACTCTTTTTTGGGATGTGTATTTTCTGAAGAATTTTTCAAAAAGTTTAATATGCTGGCATGTTATGAAGTCTCTAATGTGTTCCTTTAGGCAATATATTTCAAAATAAAGTTTTTAACAAAGCCAATTAGTGTGCTTAAAAAGTTATTCTTGTGGTTAAAAGGAATTTACTTATTAGTGTATGCAACTTTTAACGACCCCCCCTTACCCATTTGCTTTTTTCACACCATTAAGAGTATAATGGTAATATTCTCCGAAACTTCTCACCTTTTATGTAAATCAAGTCTGAAAACATTTTAATTAACATTTTCTGTGCAGGGAAAATTCTCTAAACAAAATATATCTTCCCCTGTGTATTAGTCTAATTTGTTGTTAATGAGCATTCATAAATTATCTCTAATTAACACCAGTCTCTTTAAGTACATTTTCCAATTTGCAATTTTTACTCCCTCTAAGTAAATCATTTTCTAAATATATACAAGCACATATATATTAACGGCAATTGTCCAAACCAGAACCAAATATTTATTCAAATAAGTTAGGAGATTGTTACTATTGGTTATTTACTAAAAAATCATTTGAAAAGTTAACATTGCCAATGATTCAACCATTAATATTAACAGGGACAGACATGAAAAAGTATCCAGCAGAATAAATTCATATGTTGAAAATAGTAGTTGAGCTTAAAGGAAAACAGCAGGTCTCTCATCTGCTTGTCTTAATGTGCAAATTAAAGTATCGGTTGCATTAATTTATTCCAACAGACGTACAAACATAACTTTCAAGCACTTAGTAGACTATAATTCCATAACCTGAGGTCACTGTGATAATAAATGTGTTCAATGTCCTTAAAGAGCATTGTCTAACTAATATTGTATGATCTCACTTATATGTAGACTCTAAAAAAGTCAAATTCATAGAAGCAGAGTAGAATGGTTGCCAGGGGCTCAAGGGAGAGGAGGATGCAGAGATGTGGGTCAAAGGGTACAAAGTCTGTTATGCAGTATGGATAAGTTCTGGAGATCTAATATACAGCATGGTGACTATAGTTAATATTGTATTATACACATGAAATCTGCTGAGAGTAGATCTTAATTGTTCTCATCACACACTCACAATAAATCTATGTGAGCTAAAAGATATGTTAATTAGCTTGATTGTAATAATCACTTCACAATGCATATGTATATCAAACCATGCTGTACGAGGTAAATATATATAATTTTTTTTTTTGCCAATTATATACCTCAATAAAGCTGGGAAAAAGTTATTTCAAATGTCAGAAAAAGCACTTTTTCAGAGAAGTTCTCAATATTATCACTGTCTACCAGTTTATATGAATTACTTTAGATTGAGCAGGATTACCCTTTCAAAGATATACAAGTTCTTAAAACATATTCCGTTAACGGATATGAGATTCCTTGTTTCATTTACAAAAACAAATCCATAGGAAAAAGACACTTCTCCTGGAACTGCCTTCCCTGTGGTAGATTTTAAAATTGACATCAGCTTGGGGTGAACGCCATAAAAAACTGAATTGTATGGATTGTCATATTTGAAAATATTTGGTATTATTTAAATGAAAAAGACTTACTCTCTTTAAATGACATTCTGTCAGCAAAAAACACCTCGCTAAAACATTACAAAATCATTGTTTATTAAGTCCCTACACAGAGCCTTTGGACTCAACATCTGGGAATGAATTCTGACTCTGTCACTTACAGGCCATGTCATCTTGGGCAAGTTATGTAATATCTTGGTAGGCTCCATTTCTTAATCTGTAAAGTTGAAATAATAATAGTACCAATTTCATAAGGTTAAAGAAAAAAATGGGATAATCCAAATAAACTGTATGGAACTCTGCTTTCTATAGTCATCCCTTGAATGTTACTTGCTGCTATTAAGACTGCACAGCCGTTACTACTACTACTGACTGCTAGTTGTTTGCAGCCACCTGCTGCTGCTACACAATGAAAGTCTCCATTCCTTAACAGGACTAAACATTTCAGGTTGATAATTTTAAATATCGTAAGCAGATATACAACTGCAAAAGTGACCCTAAACCAACATATTGTGTATACAGAAGGGTGGGGATTAAAGAATTCAATGTAATAAAGATCAAGGTGGTGACCCGTTGACAAAAAACAAATTTCGATCAGATTCAGATCTAGATGGCTAGAATAATCAGCTGTGAAATCTAGCATTTACTTTCGTGGACACAAACTTACATGTTCATGAACCTGAAAATCGGATGTGTTCGGTTCATATAACCGAAATTCTTATGTGCCTTAATTCTGCAAAGTTCACTGTTTCCCTACTGAAAAAACTGAAGAATGATAATAAATTATAACATCATTTAGTACCCACAGATTCCTTGCTGAGTCTGTTAGATGGGATAACAAAGTGGGAGTTCAAGCAGCAGAGATAATACAGATCTCTTAATAGAGGGATAAGGGCTGCGGATTTCAGTACTGTGTTACTAGCCTCTTGCCTGGATATTCCACTGTCTTTGAAAAAAGTGAATGTGAGATGTATACACAAAGTAGGAAGGCTATGAAGATCTATTTATGCCCACATATGCAAGCGTCCTTGCTGGGGATATATACAAGGAAAGCGGTCAAAGCATATGGAGAGCTCAGAAATGGAGCCATAGAGCTTTGGGAAGCTGCCTAACAATGTTCTTCATAACATTAACAGACGTTACTCGCCTGGTTTTTCTTTGTACGACTCCACGACAGAATATATGAAGGGCCACACAAAGTATGCAAGCAAAGTATGCAAGTTTACTCAAGTGGATTTTATAATTCAATATAACAAGGCCTAGAGACATCTAGGTGTCTAGTCCTGCTGTCAGTCTACATTTAAAATCGCGTGGCTATTACTTCAATCTCAAGGAAGTACGAGATGTTACTGTATACATCCGTGTATCTCCTACCCAAAACTAGGTAGAGAACATTTATTTCTATCCTAAGAAGTATGCTACTGACTCACTGTCTTCGCAATTCCACAGCAAATGTTCTCCACACCCCAGGCAAACACTTTCTAACTCATATCACCATTAATGGTTTTACCTGACCTTAGACTTCTCGTGGACGGGCTCAAATGGTACTATTTTGTGTCAAGCTTCTTTTGCTCAACAAGAATTTGAAGATTCATCCATGTTGTGGCATGCATTAGTATTCACTTATTTACCGCTGAGCCGTATTCCAGTAAATGAATATATCATTCTCCTGTTGATGGACACTTGGAAAATTTCCAGGTTGCAGTGTTTATGAATAAAACTGCATGTGAACATTCTTGAACAAGTGCTTTTGTGGACATGATACCTAGGCACACAGTTGCTGGGTCATGGGGTAGATGTACTAATAACCTTAGCAAAAAACTGAAACAGTTCTACACAGCGATTGTGTGACTTTTACCCTTCAACTAGCAATTTATGAGAGTTTTAGTTAATCAAAATCCTTGTCAACATTAGTTGACTAAAATCAACTAAAATGACTTAATATAAGAGTCATTTTAGTTGATTTTAGTCAACTAAAATAGTATCTCAGTTTTAATTTGTATTTATTAATTGCCATTAGCTAAACTCAAGCCACTTTTGCCTTAGATCTTAGATCATCGCACATTCTCTTAATTTTATTGATTGACATACTGATTTATATGCTGGTTTACGTAACACATTTTAGACCTTTCTTCAGGACTTAGGTCATTCTCTGCCCCCTCAAAATGTGAGGTGATCAAAAAGGCCACAGATGGAGTTCTTTACTGTGTCCTGCCTGAGTACATTAATGTTATGTCCCAGAGGCTGAAAGAAATCATCAGCTTACTATGCATTTTATTGACTACAGAGAGCTGACAGAAGTATAAAATAATGTTAACACCCACACAAAAATGTTTATATATTCAAATACTACATAGTCAAATACCTTCGGATCCTTGTAAAGAAAGAGATATCCATCACGTAAAACACAATACCGTTCTTGAAACTTATTTCCAGACAGTATTTTAGAAGGTTCTTCTTTGATTTTCAAGGTTCCCTCTTTGATACTTTCCAGGGCTCTCCTCTCTGTAAAGTACATTGTAAGTTAGGTACATTTTCATTTATTGGGAACAGAACATAAAACATTTCTCTATTTTCAGTTTCGATAATGTAAAGTAATAACATGTTTCCTACCATTAAAAAACCTACAGCTAATTTCTGGGAATACCATGTGTGAGGGGAGTGTTGGACAAGTTATAGATCCACTAACTAGATCTATATATAGCCCTGTCTACACTATCCAAATAGCTAATGGGTAATAACACTTAAAATGTGGTCAGTTTCAACTGAAGTGTACTGTATGTATAAAATATACACCAGATTTTAAAGACTTAGTACAAAAAAAAGTCAAAATATCATAATTTTATAATACTGATTACATGTTGAAATGATTATATTTTGGATATGTGCATTTAAGTAAACTATAATAGTGAAATTAATTTCACCTGTATATATTTACTTATTTTAATGTGGCTACTAGGCAATTTAAAATTATATAATCAACTTACAATGTGTTTATTTTTAACAGTTCTCATATATAAACAATGCAAATACACAAGTAAAGAGGGAAACCTTTCCTGAAATTCTAACTCAGGAATCTAGGAATTCTTAAGGCATTAGAGAAATTCCTGTACTTACTAGGACTTTTATGAAAGAGGTAAGGGTAAAAAAGCAAAACTACTAAAGTAGAGCATTTAATTAACAACAATTATATTTTATATACAATAGTATTAGTGTTCCACACTTAGAAATCATTTTAATTCTATTAAAAAATACTTTTTGATAAGAACACCAAATTTGTATTTCTATACATTTGAGGCATAAATTTATCAATATAAATCATCTAAAATATTTTCCTCAAAATGTAGACAATTAGCTGCCTATCTGAGAACTGAAAAATTATGAAAAGGGATCCTGAAGCCAAACAGATATGACATTATCATTATGATGTTAATTTCTGCTTTTCCTGTGAAAAAGCAGTGATGACACATCCTGCAGATTGTTGTGGCCCACAGATAATGTCCACAAAAGATGTGGGGTAGGAAACTCCATCAGGACTAGGACCTTTAGCAACCTCATAGTATTAAGATGATACAATTTAAAAATATTCATGCATAGTTTTGAAATTTATAAAATAACTCGAATGAATTTAGAAAGAACTCTTAGTATTAAACCTAACAATCTCTTGGTTTGGGAAAAACCTTTACTTATACAGAAAAAAAAAATATACAGATGTTCATAATTATAATTAGATAAAAGATAGTTTAAAAATAGAAATAGTTCCTTATAATGCAAATGTGAGCACAGAATGACTATCTGGAAGAGAAATTCCCAGGATTAATCACATCACTGATCCTAACCACAAACAAAGGTAATTAACAAACCCCAGTGATTTTCATGACACACATACTAGCCACAGGTAACATTCTTTTACTAAACCTTCTTCTTAGGTAGTTTGTGACTTTATAAAATAATTTCTGAATAACATACTGCTAAAATTGTCCTATGGTACAAATTAATATTCAATTCCATAAAAATATATTTTATAGCTAAATACTATTTAAATTAAAAAATAACATTTTTCCAATTAAAAGACTTGAAAGAAGACATTTTAATAGAATTAGAAGAGCAAGGGAAAAAAATAACATTACCTAAAACTAGTATTCAGAGAAATTCATATTACATCTATCATTCATTTCTTCATAAATTATTGAGGATTTAGTATGTACTTGGAAGTAGTAATATGCGTCAACCAGATGGAGATGGTCTCTGCTCTTGCAGTGCAGTGTTAAATAACAGTTAAACATGAGCTAACAAACAATGAACACTGTATATCCTGAGAGAAGTGCAGTAAGCAACTTAGAAAATACTGGGTGGTCTTAGTGATTCCGCTGATTTAGAATAGGAAAGTAGAAAAAGGCATTTATAATATTGTTGGTTTAGAAATAGGTAAAGCATTTTTAAAAGCATTAAATTACTATGAAGTGTGCGATAGATATTACATATTGCTTAAGCCAAATTCTATTTATACCTTCTGATTGGACACTTTTCATTTAGAATTTTGTACAAATTAATAAACCTTTCAAATTTTAGTAATAATCTCATGTCCAGTGTCTAGGTAAACCACTCATTGGTCAAAGAAAAACAGGCTTAGGGAAAAGATACTGTTTGTGTCTCTAGTGCATAGTGCTGATCTTCATTTTAATAATCATCACATGTAACTGAGTAGTTTAGCTAAAGCTGGGAGCATACACTATAAATGAACTCAGGAGGGAGGCTCTGAGAGGAATATATGTTGAGGAGTGAAGAAAAAAAGAACTCTGAAATATGAAATTCTATGATAAAGTTGAGGATTTTAAAGAATTTCTAAAACCTGTCACAACTAAATTTGTCTGCTCTAAAAATGTAAAATAAGTAGAAAAATTACCCACCACTTAAGGGACAAAATGAAGCAACATACGTTGGGGGACATCGTGTGTGACTCAGTGTGTAACAAAATGAAGGTTATGAATTAAACGGTTTCCAATAATTCACTTTCCCGAACTTTGCCAGTATTGCTTGGTCCCTCAACTCTTATATTTCCACTTCCTCCACCTCATCCTAGGCAGAAAGCCTATTAAGCTCCCTTGTTCCTGAAGAATCTGGTTCAGTACAAAGTTCATGCCAGCTGTGTCCACCATGCCTGCTGCCCAGACCTTGTCCAGGTTTGAGTTCAACTCTAGTATGTCAGGATTCCAGTTTTATACACTGCATGTCCCTTTTGATCTGGAGTTCAACTTTCCTCTACTCAGATCTTTTCAGTGGGATCTCTGCTTTATTATTCTCGAGATTCTGGCCAGAACTCCTATCATGTCACTGTTATTTCTAATGCTACATAAGCAGTTTTCATAGCCACACCCCTTGCTAGTCATTCAATATCCCTCTGATCCAATCAAAAAGAATGAGTTCATATATCATATGGTCCGTGCTATAAATTGTAGCCATGATGTAATAATATAAGTAACTACACATGGAATACTTCTATGTAATAAGAATTTTTAAAAAACGGGCACACCATGTATATTTGCTTTAAATTGAAAAATGAACCAGCTATAGTACATAATTAATGTACTAAAAAGAAGCCATTAAGTAAGTGACTTGGGAAACCACCCGATTTTTTTTTTATATAGTGTAATAGATCTGAAGATTTAATGCACTCTCAAAGCACCTAACTCCTTCATAGAAAGATTCTGGGGTATATACTACTATGCACAATTTCATTTACTACCCTTTTGTCTTTCGTTTCAATCAAATTCCACCACAATGTTATCTCTGGGGAATCATAAACCCCTCTTCCTTCTTGGTGGTTGCTAGGATGAGGCAGGCTCAGCTGGGGTTTAGTAAGGGGTCTTTATAGTTAACACTGGATGAGAAAACAGATAAGTATTCTTAGTCATATTGTGTTGTATTGTTGTTTTAATTAGAAAAGCCCTTAAAAAAATGTATGTATGAACCAAAAAAAAAATGGCCACATTTATTTAAATAGAACAGACATATATTACTGGGACAATAAAACTAATATCCCCCCCGCAAAGTTTTTCCAAACTATTTGAAAACCTCGAGTTCTTATACAAATACAGTAATTTCCAACTAGTCATCTCTAATCCCAATAAAATAACTGATATAAGGAGGAGGTGACAGGATCTTGGGAAGGAGAGGCAGAGAGAGACAGACAATACTTGTTGGCACCTAGCAAGCTGAACGTTACCTCTTATTTAATTAATGGAGGACAGACATTCTTTTCGGTACTGCAGAGTCTGTACTACGCAATGAAGACTACACTTCCAAAGTTCTGATGATTTATAGATTGAATTTGTAAGAGTTAAAAAAACTAAAGTCTGATTTAGCCTTCATTTCAGTATAGTAAGTTGTTTATGCCAGAATACATGGCTCGATTTGGAGAGATTCTGACTCTAATGCCTGCTTCTCCAATTTCCAGCAGATCACCTTGAGGGAGTTATGTGATGTTTCCATGTCCCAGTTTCTCCATTTGTAAAAGTCCTAGTAAGTACAGCAAGTCCTCACTTATCATCAACAGGTTCTCTACAACTTTAAGTGAAAGGACAGATAACGAAGACAATTTTACCATAGGCTCATTGATATACACTAGAGTTAAGTTCCTACGCATCTCATCAATATTATAATGAAATGATGTTGAACGAAACATTATTTGAGGACCTGCTGTACTACTAAATAGCTCATAAGAGTACTAGGAAAATTAAATGAGATGGTGTATGTAAAGCATTCAGCCCAGCATCTGACACACAGTAAATGCACAGTAACTATGAACTGTTGCTATCTCCTATATCTGTTATCTCATATATAATCTGAGTGAGGACAAGGGAATATACAACAAATAGATCTATTTTTAATGTCTGTGTCTTCCTTTTTCTTTGTTGGCAAAGACTATTTCCTCAGGCCTGCATATTATCTGAAAAAAATTCCTTGTTCCAAGTTCCACCCCCACCCATGTACTCTAAGTGCTGGAGGAGACAAAATGGGCAATTTCTATTCTCTTGAAAACGTGCCACAACTAAGTGATATTTGGCAACATTTGCAGCCTAACACATAAAAATTCCTTCTTGATTAAAAAGTATGCACATTTCCTTTGATATTAACTGTATAGGATACATATGTTCTTTATAATTTGGAGAAAGAATTTCTGATTTATTTTATTTATCGTATGACATTCACTCAAAATGCATTTTAGTAAAATTTTGTTCTACAACTGTGTAGAAACTAAACTGGACATAATAGCTGCTTGAAAGTAACTGTTTCTTAGAAAAGGTCAAATATGTCCATCTCCCCATCCCCATTCTATTTCCCTTTATGCTACTTGCATTGAAGAAGCAATGTTTAATAGAATTAGTAGCTTGATTATATTCTTTCATAATTATTCATAAGCAGTAAAGTTATAAATATAGTTATTATTAGAGGACTGACTAGAAAAGTGCCAGGGATTCCATGCCATTTTACTGAAAATGCAG